CATGGCAGGGTGGGAGGGAGGGGCAGAGAAGCTTGCAGGTTGGGAAACTAGGGGTGGGGTCTGGGCCTAGGCCCTTCCATGACTCTACCGGGAGGTTCTACTAGGCTGCACTGCAGCTCTTACCTTGGGAGAGACCATCAGCTTTGGCACCTTCCTCCCAGAGGGAGCGATGTGTGGGGGATGAAGGGAACAGCATGGCTGAGAACACAGCTGACACGGGCCAGCCCGAGGGGCAGGACCACCCACGGCTCCGACAGAGAGCAAGGGTCAGGCCCTGACTCTAAGAGATTAATCCCCTGTGGCCTCCGGGTCCAAAGTGGGACAGTGGCACCCTTCCCTCCCTCAACAGCCGCCTCCCCAGCTCTGGGGGCCTCTGTCCCCTGAAAGCCCCGCCAGGCCTTGGTCCTTCCATTCGCCTCCCGTTTCTGTGATTCTGCTCCTTCCCCAAACACCTCCCTCGGCAGGGCTTTTAGGGCAGCTGAGACGAGTTAGGCAAACATTCCCTCCCTGCCCTGCTCCCACACAGCACGGCCACCACCAAGCCTCGGAACTCAGCCCCTCCTCCAGGGCCCCGGGCCTGGGGACAGCGAGAGCCCCGGCCTACCTTGGCCTTGCTGATGGTGCAGTGGAGGGCGTTGTTTTCCTGGTCGTAGAGGAGGCTGAAGTCCAGCGTGCCCAGGGCGGCTGTGGACAAAGCAGGGCTCAGGTCATGCATCGGCTGCACGGTGGAGAAGCATCACCCACCTCTGGCAGGTCAGATGAGGTGCCAGTGCCCACAGTGACTGCCAGCAACTGGGCACCTACTGCATGTTCATCCCTCCACCCAGCTTTCCAGTTCCGCCGAGCCTGGGAAATGAGCAGTATTCTCCCCACTTTCTAGACGAGGGGCTGAGGCTCAGAGAGGCGAGCTCAATCACCCTGTCATCGTGAGGGGAGGCCCCAGTCAAACCCAGGTGGTTGGCTGCATAACCCAGGCCCCTAAACTGCACCGTGGTGCCTGACCTGTGGCTGGTCCAGTGTGGCACCCACATGTACTGGGCACTCAGCTAAAGGAGTTCCTGTCCTTCTGCCCTACCTTGAGCAACTGACAGTCTGGGCTCCAGCCTCAGTTTCCCTCACCAGTTAAATGTCACAGGGATTATGTGAGACGGCAGAAGAGACAGGGCCTTGTGAGGCTGCAGGCCTGGGCAGGCTGACTGATCCATTCATGCACCTCCTAGCAACACTCAGGGTGCAGCTCCCTGGCCTGTGGTCTCTTGGGGGCCTGAGCAAGCTTTGAAGAGCCAGCCCCGTCCTCAATCTTTTATCATGAAGCGGGTGATTCCCAAGGGCTGGGCAGAATGCAGCATTAATTGGGTGCAGCTGCCACCCTCGGAGGCCATCATGGCAGCTGTGGCCTCCCATGCTGCTGTGGCTCCCAGCATGAACACTGGTGACGCAGACTCGAGGAAAGCTCAGCTTAACGGGAGGAACAGATGAAAAGAATTTGCCACAACAGAGTCTGGTGGGCCAGAAGCAATGGGGGATACCTGACCTTGATGTGAATTTTGGTTATCAGGGAAGGCTTCCTGGAGAAGGTGATGCTTCACTTACTCCATGAAGGATGAGTAAGAGTTGGCCAGTGCACAGTGGGGCTTGGGGAGGGGCATTCCAACCACGAGCCAGCCAGAGGGTTGGGGGCTGAGTGGCTGGAGTGATGCTGGGGGAGGTCAGGGCACCCAATGTGGATCTAGATCAAACTATGGCCCACTGGCCAAGTCTGGCCACAACCATCCATTTACATCTGAACTACAGATGCCTTCTCACTTATAACAATGGGAGAGCTGAGTAGATGTCACAGGGACCATACTGCTCGAAGATCCCTGGGCTCCTATAGGGGCCCAGGCCTGGCAAAATTTGGGGGCTGCAGAGAAATGGGCAAATTAAGGCCTGTGCACAAGGGGCTGCTCTTTATTCTGAGGTGATGGCACCAAGTCGTGTGTCTTGCTCCCCAGCTCCTAACACAGGATAAGGCACACAGCTCAGCATCTCTGTCCTTGCCTGGGGACACATGACCCTGGGCTCAAGTCTCGGCTCTGCACTTCCTTGCCGTATTACCTCTGGAAGCTTATCTAGCCTCTCTCTGCCTCAGTTTCTTTGGCAAGATGGAGACGCAATAGTATCCACTTTACAGCGTCATGCTTTCAAACACACCTGGGATATAGAAAGCGCTCAGTAGATAATTATAGAAGGAGCAGATCCATTTAGGTGACTTTTCTAGATAACTGTTCTTGCCCCGCTGAGACGCCTTCTGGAACGAACTCGTTCCAAACTGGATCACTCTCCTCTCAGGCTTTGTGAGCAGAACACACAACTGGTCACTTACACTTTTCTGAGTAACCTGAGTCATGGCTATGACGACGACCGGGGTTCTGTGTCACAGTCGCAGCACAGACACGGATGGGGGTGTGAGATGACGCCGCCACCGAGTGACCCCAGGTGGCCACGCTTTGAGGCGTTCCTCATTTTTCTGCCTCTTGCTTTGCCACGGGCTGGAAACTCCTGTTAAAGTGCTCGCACCTGCTGGCGCAAGCAGCTCCCCCCATTCAATAGCTACCTGCTTATTCTCTGGAAGCAGGTGAGGATACTTGTTAGAGCTGTGTCCATACTAAGAGTCAACAGGCCTTGAGTGGAGCCTGAGGGACTTTTTCCTGAGCAGACTATGTTGCTTTAAGGCTAACTGTATCTGGCCTTTCGCTGCCTGTGTCCCCAGCTCCCACTGCGGCGGGCAGGCGAGGGTGCTGTAATGAGGTAAACATCACCATGCCTCTAAACGACACACAGCCACGGGCCCAACATTCTCCAGGCCCGTGCTTTTGTATTCTTTAAGTTTTTTTTTAAAAAAATATGTCTTTATTGATTTCAGAGAGAGAGAGAAACATCAATGATGAGAGAGTCACTGATCAGCTGCCTCCTGCACGTCCCCAACTGGGGATCGAGCCCGCAACCCAGGCATGTGCCCTGACCAGGAATCGAACCGAGATCTCCTGGATCCTAGGTCAGTGCTCAATCGCTGAGCCACGCTTTTGGCTTTACATGGCGCTCAATCACACTGCTGTTCAGCTCACCTAATCAGTGGCTTGCTAACCCATTAGCCTCCCTAGAGCAGGGACCATGCCTCAGCCACGCCTGGGACACCAGCAAAGAGCAGATGTTCAATCCACGTGGTCTGTCCATTCGAACCAACTCTCTCCCGAGCTGCTCTTTGGTGTGATGCCCGCGTGTCAAAACGCACACTCTGTGATCTCTGGCTGTTTCCCAATTCCAGAGAAGGACAAGCCAGAGAGATGGAGGGGCCACCTGCTTCCCCTGGGAAACAGCTCCAGGAGCAGAGAGGAGCCCCTTCCACTGGGTCTCCAGACATCCCTGTTAAGGAGGGCTCTATGCTGCTCAGTGGAACTGACACCTGTTATCATTTTCGGAGAAGGAACATCATGCCTAGTGTCACCCCAGGGCGAGGTTGACAGATTTCTCTGAACTCCAATGTAAGTTCTGTAAGAAATAATCATTTATAAATAGAAGCTTGGTTACCGTTTTTAGTGACTTGCCGGTGGTGGAGCTCTCTCAGGGAGTTTATAGTCCAAAGTCTTCATTTCCCATTTAGAGAAATGAGGCTCAGAGAGGGGAGGTGGCCTGTTCAGGGTGGCACAGCAGAGCTGGACAAGGAATCTGGGCCTTTCATTTCCATCCCGATAGCTCCTGCCCTAAAACCCGAGGCTTCCAAATTTTTTAATCTGCCACTTAGTTTAGCTGAAATCTCAGGAAGAGGAAGAAGAGAAAAGCAGAGGTGCTCTTGGGGACCACAAAGGGCTTGACTGTGCCCTGCAGGGGAGCCTCTGAGTTGGAAATGCACCCTGGGCTTGTGGTGCGGGTGAGGAGGGCCCCCAGGGCAGGTGAAGGTGCTTGTCTGTGTGAGCCACTGGGGCTTGCCCTTGAGTCACTCAAATCACATGTCCTGGCTAAAGTTTACAGCCTTCGAAAAATAATGAGGGTTGGTCACTAATGGGCCTTTGAGAGTTGTCACCCGCTTGTTGATAATTATAGAGCTTTAATGGGGCTAATTCAGAGAAATCAAGCTCAAGCCCCTGTCAGTTTCTCTAAGGATGAACATCCCTCTGCTCTGCTGATGGGCACTGATGGCATTACTTTGACCTTGGTTTGCACCTGGACTTTCCTCACCCGTACACCCTGGGGAATAGGAAATCTGCTCTGTCTTTTTGTTTCTGTTTGTTTTTTGAGAAAAACAGCCTCTCAACAAGTTTTAAAAATCGATGGCAAGTGCCACAAAAATGATCAAGCCTGAGTTGAAAGCATTTTGTAGTTGGGGAAACTGAGGCACTGAGCTGGACACTGCAGGGGCTACAAAGAGGAATGAGCCATAAATCCTTGCTTCCCAGGAGCTCAGAGGCAGAGGGTTAGGACTTTTATAAATCTATTCATCTCCTTGCTTTAAATTGTTCAAAGGTTCTCTACTGCCTCCGGGACTCATTTCACCCTCCTCAGTGTGGCATTCAAGGCCCTCTGCTCCTCTGAGATATGATGGCTTTGGCCTCATCATTAATTGTTTCCCCTTGCTTCAGCCACTTAACCTCACTGTTCTGCCTCTGCTGGGCTGTTTCCTACACCTCTGTACCTGTGCACACGGCAGTCCCTCTACCAGGGCACCTCCCTTCCTCCTTCCACTGTATCAGTTGGCTTCCTCCCTCCAGCCTCTGAGTAGAGCCTTCTCTGTGAGTGATCTCTGCAAGCCAGAGCTCTGCACTGGGTTCCTGCCTCCCTGTCCTCACTGCTGGGCTATTTGTGCATTTTGATTTCCATGAACTCCCGGATGTCAGACTGTGTCTCAGGCATTCTTGAATCTCCATGCCCAGCACAGTGCTTGACACAGAGTTGGTCTTGTTATGTGGAGTGCATAGAAATATGGTCTGGGCAGAATACGACTGATTCAAAGGAAGGGAAGTCACTGCCAGTGGGGCCCAGGAAATGCCCCAGCTGCGGGCCTTCGGAGCAGGCCTACCGGCAATTCCTCACCCCTTTCTTGCTCTAGGCCTCCCTGGCATCAGTCCTGACCCAGCCCAGACTGAATCCTGCAGGGCAGGCATAAGCATGGGCATGTGCTGCAATTCTGGCCAGTGAGGCAGAAGGACAGGCCTCCTGGGGACTCTGGGAGAGATTTCCTCACTCTTAAACTGAGGCATGGGAGAGGAAACTGATCCTTATCAAAGTTAGGATCTTACTGCTACCTGTGATAGCTAGATCTGCAGCAGCCACCTTGGACCATGAGGGAGGTCAGCCTGAGAGAACATGAGCATGGCCAAGTGGAAAGACGAACAGAACCATCACTACTGGTGCTGCTGATGAACTGCTGCATAAATCTACCCCGGTGCCACCGACCTCAACAGTCCTCAGTGTTTAACACACTTTGAGTTTTCTGTTACTTACAACCCAAAGCATTCTAGTCACTCCAGTTTCGAAGAATGGACTGGGTTTCCACAGGTGGAGAGTGGGCAGGCAGGGAAGAGGTATGTAAAGAGGGTGGCCATAGGGCCCATCTGGAGGGCAGCAAGCCTCGGAGTCCAGCTCAGGTAGGCGCACTGGGGACCACTGGGGAGTAGGGCACTTCTAACTCCAACATTCACTGCATTTTCTCCCCATCATTACTCCTCTGTTAGATCA